GGTTTTCTTTAAAACGTAACGAAATCGCAAGGAACGTTGTTGGAAAAGTGCTGGACAGTATCAGAAATTATTAGAAATATTAATAATAATAAAATATTTTATTAGAAATACCACATTCTAAGATATCCTTTTAAAAATTTGAGAAACAAACTCTGCTCCGGAAGCCAAATCAACGTCCCATATCTTTCAAAATCAGGTCCGTCGCGCTGTTCTAATTTTTTTTCTTTAACAAAAATTGGGAATTTCACGTAGTTTCTAAAATTGCATTCCGAACTTAACTTCACAAACCTGTCGCCTGAAATCGCGGAAACCAATATCACAGAAATCGTGCTTTCGTCTTCCCGATGGATGTTTCGAGCGGTAGAAACAGAGCCGAGCACAAGTGGACGAGCAAGCATCAGGATATTCCGATAATTCAAGCAAAGAAAGGGAAGAAAGCGTCGCTCTCCTTGGGAGACACGAAAGAGGCCGGCTCGGCAGAGCGTTGCAAAATAGTTCAACATCGCAAATAATACGAGTTCCATCGGTTCCATTGTCAGATTCCCCTCTAGTTTCGGCATTCTCTTGCCTCGCGTTCGAGTTTACGTAGATCTCAAACGAATTCGGACCGATTTACGGTTCGACGAGTGGAATCATACTGAGCTGTTACGTGCTTTCTGTCTGGCCGGACGTAATAATATCTCGTTGCTCTTCCTCTTCCTTGGATGTAAAGGGAAAAGAATCTTCCCTGGACCAGGGTTGAAACTGCTGCCCTAACGCAGATACCTAATTCACAAAAGAGTCGTTGACGATGGAAAAAATTAAATGTTTCTTTCGAACAAAGACGTGAGATTGAGTTAATGACAGTGCACAATTCTACTTTAAATTTTGATTATTCTAGCGAACACATCTGTTAAATGGCGACCTGACGTTGTGCATCAAATGCACCTTTCAGATTTAGGAAGATCTAAAACGCAAATTAGAAATAGAACTGTGCGTTACGTTAAACGCAATTGTATCTCGTTGCATACTCTTCCTTTGGATGTAAAGAAGAAAGCATCTTCGCGAGTAATGTTGAAACTACTATCCTGCATAAATATCTAATTTGCAAAAGAATATTGGAGATGAAAGAGTGAAACGAGAACTTTGAATAAGGATACAAGTATAGTACATTTTGGTCGAAATAAGATTCTATAGTTTCAATCGTTTTATTGCGTGTAAATGGCAGATGATCTGTTGGAAAATATTCTAATTATTTGAAATTTATGGAAACTTTAAATATCGATCATTTCCATTGGGATAAGAATCCTAGGTTCAAACATTCGTTACGATTTATTGAATACAGTGTAATTTAAAATTGTAATTTCTTCGAAGTGTGCTAAATTTTATTCGACGTTTCCGCTGAATTATATAAAAGATTATGAAATTTCAAACCAACCACTTGTTTCTTGTGATACACATAAAAAGTATCCAAACTGAACCTGTGTATCATTCTTGTATTCCAATATCTTGGAATTTCCCTTCACAACCACAACATTAGAAAATAAAATTTTCACGTTAAATTGCAAATTGATGAAAAAGAATTGTAAATTCTTGAATTCATGAATGCAACCTTCGAACGAGAAGCTAGAGAAAATTTCTTTCCTTATGAAATATTTGCACTGCGTCACAGAAATATTCGCACCCTTCCAATAATAATTAATCAACGATGAAATAATTGAGGAAACCTATATTATGAAATGACACGAATCGTTCAATATTAGCGTAGTCACGCGTACGTTTCAATGAAATCTTGAGAATAGATTTCTCCGAATATATAATTTCGAAATGAGGTTTCGGAACGAATTGTTCATCTGCAGATGTTCATCTTCATTGCATAGATAGACACTGCATATTTGCATTTCGGTGACTCGCTCCTGTTTCTTTAACGAGCCAAGCGAACAAGAATCAATGGGTATGTGATTCTTGCAGCGTGATTCTCGTCTCTGTTCGTTCGTTTCGATCTCGGTTCCTCGCCAGTTGGCCGACCGGCGACTGTATTTTTGAACATTTTAGTAGAAGGGTTTCGCTCTCCCTTTATAATTCAGAGAAGAGAAAGAATCGACCCAACAGTCGAGGCTCCTCTTCTTTGATCTTCTCGCGGTTACGGAAGTAACGTTTTCACGAATCCGTTCTCCCGAGTAAGCGCAATTTAGATGGGATTCTTTGAATTTTATTTCACGTGGCCCGTTATTTATCCGCTTCAATTTCCCAGCCATGGAATACGATGTGACTCGACCGACCGACTTGACGACCTAAAATTGTGCGTGAAACGCTCGTCGTATGAAAGAAAATCGTCGTCGAAAGCGAATCGTTTTGTTCCTTCGTGAAATTACGGGCATTTCGTATTGCCTGCCATTCACTGCCGAATGGATCATTCGGTATTATGGTCTTCTGTGAAACACACGAGGCTGGAACTTCGTTTTATGTGCCACGGTATATCAATTACAGAGAATCTTCGACAGAACATTACGCATTGCATTAATATCTGAAACATGGAAAATGTAGGATTATTATCATTTTTATATAGACGTTGAAACTTACGCAACCAGTGCAGAAGATGCAGTCTTAAAGATTGCGCACATTGTCGCAGTAAAATTACAAAGAATCGCTTGTTCAAGCAAATGAATACTCCATTCGTATTATAATCTTATAGTATTAAAACTTTAATTAATCGTCAGTCAATTACAATATCTTTATTACTACTCAAGTTTACTTTAGTTTAGAAAATAAAGGATGCTTCAAACGTTTGTGTCGTAGTATTATATTTTCCGAATAATTGCCAATAAATCCAGCAACTAATGATAATGAATAGTAAATACTGATACTGACGATAATAAAAAAAAATTTCAACATTTACAAATGAAACGTTAAAAGAAGAAAAATTCTTCCGCAGAAGCGAAATCAATAATGAAATTCTTCAACGGAGCAATAACCTTGCGAGAGCGAACGCGGAAATCGAATTCGAAAATGTGAAACTGCGGAAGTGAAAACATACAAAAATGTAAAACAGTGAATTTCATATCTGAATGCATAAATCACGTAACAATTCGCTCGTTTTTCCAGCCGTTGAATAAAACCATAATCTCCAGGGTGCGATTTTCCGCGGCACTTTCAATCGGACGTAATGCAGAGATAATTGGAGCCACGGAAAATTTCACTGTATCGCGCGTGTCGTTCGTTATCGCATTGTCGTTGAGCGGCCGCGTGTTATGCAGATACATTGTCGTTCCGCGCGCGATGGCAAGGCGTTTCGACAAATCATAAATCGGAGCTCGAACGGGAAAAAGGCGGACGCGGAAGGGGATAACTTTCGACGAACGAGGGGGTGGCAAGGAGGAGAATGAAAGGGGGCCGGCCGCACGGTGAAATAGCGTTTCGCGGTCCCACAGAAATAAAACCTGGTACACCATTTTAAGGGTAGTTCTCGAATTTCCGCACGAGAGAGAGAGATCGAGTTTTCACCGCTTTCGATTCTGATATTGCGTTCCGTGTACGTGTCGATTACGACTCGCTGTTACGTCTCCCCGTAACGCTTCGCGTTCCGCGAGGAAAAATTCATTTTTTGTTTCTTTCTAATTCAATTATATTTTTTCCGGCACGGTGTAACGTCGCACGACGTAACGTGGAAATCGGAGAGCGAGGGAAGGTTCGTACGTGTGTGTGTGTGTGTGTGTGTATTGAAAAATAATTGGAACGAAGTGAGTGAACAAAGTTACGTCGCTATTTCGTCGAGAAAATTCTTTTGCTTTCGCGATAGTAACTTCTTTTTGGTTATTCTTCTTTGGCCTTCTTCCGATTATTTCAATACACGTTGAATTTCTCAGGAACACTATAGCAGGGTAGTTAATGTGTTTAAACGAAATATCTTTTATATGCTTTATATTTTATATTTATGCTTCGATTAATAGAGATCTTTCGATTAATAAAATCGTGTCAGGAATATCATTTCTGATTGCAAGTAGTTCGTATAAGTATGGACAAACGTAAATTATTAAAGGATTCAAATGTGTCATTCGTTTAAAAATATATCTTCAATTATTCATCACTCTTCTCGCGATCGAAATTGAAATACGAGTTAATTTTTACCATCGCCATTTTGTGCTCGATCAACGTTGCTTTAAATTGTTCATTCATATAACAATTAACACCAATTTTAAATATCGTCAAGTGTGACAGGAAGATATTTCTATCACTACCATTTTTTCTTTTTGTTTCTTCCTGTCTTTTTGTATTGCATTTTCGAGGAAAGTCCGATATGAATAGGTGGAAGTGAGGTGGTGAATGGACTTGCGTATGAATGAAATTCTCGTGTGTTGAGTGCGAGTGATGAATGGTTGAAGTAGCGATTGAGTAATTACGTTGAATGGATTCTGGGGGTATAGACGATGAGTTTCGGACACGAGGAGGTGCTTGATTCAAAATGGCGATCTTCAGAGTGTGCGCTTGACACGTGTACATATGCCCGAAATTCGGTGGAACAATTGAAACCGCCGGGGAACTTTCTACTTTCCCATTTTCAGCGGCGAGAGTTTTATAGTCGCGCGAGTGCTTCTCGTTTTGCCGTATTTTTCAATCTGTATTGTGATTTGAGGACCACATCAGGGGGAAAGGACACGATACGTCCATTTTTATTGATTTTAATATGTACACAAAACGTAAGCAATGTCTGGCTTATATTACGCGTATAAAAAAATCAATGTACTATACGTGACACGTTTCATGGAAAAACGATAACGTGTTTGATGTTCAAATAATCAATATTTGTTGACTGGCAGTATTATACATTTAATCTCAGGGTTTTGTACAAAGAGAAATTTAATAATGGACGATCGATTAATTACATATCAAATTTGAAAGATGAAAAACGTAGCAGATCATGATTTTTTAAATTTTCTATTGTAACTATTATTTCTAAACTCCTCTTAACAAATATTAAGTAATTTGCTAAAGCGCATTCATTCGATCGTATGTATTTCTTTTTATTTTTGTTTGTGAAATTTAATTACAGTGTTCACATACTTATATATAATAAAATTATAGTATTATATATGTAAATAGTAATTATCGAGTATATGAATTTTCTTTTCTTCTTCATTTAAGAAATTTTCTTACAAATATACAATGATATGAATATAATTATATATAATGAATTTTATATTCAATATAAATTACGTGTATTTAATATATACTCACATCACAAAATTAAATAACGTTATCGTCACATTTACATTTACGTATACGATATGTTTAAATTACAACTCTAAAATCTAAACTCGATGTCCAAACATTTATATCTACATCGCATAAATGTTATTTACTTATGTTACAAATTTAAATCCAACTTAAACAACATTTCCTCGAATCATCGACTAGCCAAACTCTCGAAGAAAACGTTCCAACCGGATCCAACGATATTTCCTCCTGCTTTTCAGCAAACTTCCCGATCGCCAATGAATCATTCTCCCTCAAGTAATCTTCACTTTCGTGAACAGTATTCCTCCCAGAATGACTCGACTGTCCCCGTCGACCGCGGAACATTGGACTTCCTTCGGTTCTTCCGCTTTTCCCTCCGCCGTCGGGCATTAGGATAGTCCAATAGTTTTCCCCGAGGAAACCACCCCCTGCAAAGAGCAAATCGCGCTGCGAGTTTTACGTAACGATAAGAATTTTTCAACATAGGAATTCATTCGCGCGTAAGAAACGACGAATTTACACGCGGATTTCGATCTGCACGTTTCCAGGATAAACTTTACTCTCTCTCTCTCTCTCTTTCTCCTTCTCCAGGGAATGCTTCGACGAGGTAGATTCACTGACCCGGTTTCCAATCGATACTACCCTCGCAGGGAAATTAATACCATCGAGACTCGTGATACAAGATCGTGTTTTCGCATAGTTCATCGCTAGACTGTGAATGTTTATGTGTTTTTGTATGTTTGCGAGGTGTCTATTAAATTGTCACGGATGAAATGGTCAAAACTTTTAATGTACGTTCGTTGCACGTGAAATGAATAATTAATTAAATTTTAACTTCTGTGGAAACTTTGGTTCTTGTGAAACAATTGTATAATAATGCGATCCATAGTTATCGATCGCTTTTTAGTTCATCGTTTGCAATCTAATTCTCTAAACTTTCTCTGTTCTTAAAACTTTGGCAAAAATAAAAAAAAAAGTACGAAGTAGTTGCGTTGGAAAAGTTACCTCGAAGAATTTTTAATAAAATTATTCGAAATCGTCAATTCTCTAAGCTAATTAGTCTGTAATTAGAAAGATCGCTTCAGTTTCAAAGAAGTTGCCAAACTTACCATTCGTCTCCTATCATTTTCCTAGATATTTGTTCCAACTCCAGTTAAATTTATTTATCATTTTCCTAGATATTTGTTCCAACTCCAGTTAAATTTAGAACCGACTAAATTTCATTATCAAGGAATCTCTCGTCAAAACTTTCAGCGCTCGATCAAACGCGAAAGGCCTATTAAAAATATCAATCACCGTTATTTCAACCGGAGGAAAAACGAGGGAAACTCGACGAAACACACCGTCGGCCACACAAACCAGGGTCATTAATTATAATTAAACGCAGAGCGTCGATAAAATCGGAAGCTCCTTCTCGCCGGTGAGCGGTGGCACACCGAAGTTTCCGGGGAGGAAAAATTGCAAATTGCCAGCAGTGATCCCAGCGTGACCTCGTTGGGGATAAGGGATCATTCGGAAGTTCCGGGGAGATAAAGTTAAGTGAATTCCACGGTGTAAAGTAACGGTCCTGGAACTTTGTTTCTCTTTGGCTCCGTGCTCGAGGACCAAAGGATCTAAGAACCTTCTCTCTCTCTCTCTCTTGATTCTTTGCGTTCCTTGAATAATCGTGTCGTTACTTAAAACTCCGTTGCTGAAGCAGAGGAAAGGGTTCAAGTTTACGTTTGGCCAGAAGCTTACGGCTTCCAGGTTTGCGTAGCTCCTTCCATCGACGATGTTCGAACTCAGGATTAGAATTCACCGATTCAACGCTTGACAATTCTAATTGCTTCCTCTGCGCGAGAGACGTTTCAACTCGTTTTTACTCGTATAAAGTCGAGAATAAATGTTTAAGACTGTAGGATTTGAAGGTTGGAAGATCTTGAAGGGACTCGACGTGTTGAGATCTTGAGCAAGGGATTTCAGTTACGTTTTTTGGGATTAAAGTTCGACTCTTGGTTTAATTCTAATTGCTTCTCGGTGATGTTTTAATGTTCGATTTGAAAGTAAGTAGAAAGTTGGAGGATCTCGAGGAAATACGATGTTGAATTTGGGATTTGCGACTGAGGTCAGGGATTTGTGTTTGAACAGCGATGGTTTTTGACCGTTGTCTGTCTCGAGTGTCCTAAAATTTAGCAATTCACTTTGGAAGTGGATTTAATCGTTAGTTATAAGAAATTTAAAAATTAGACTTCAAATTAAACTTTAGAAAACACTAAACAGCACGATTCTGCGTCATTTGCGATTCCAATACCAACGTTCGTTCGAAACACATACCATAAATTGTCATGTAGAGAAGCAGATATTGAAAACTCTGTGTTTTCATAAAAGAAATAGCAAAATTTTTACATTTTTCATTTTAATTTGTATATGAAATAATAATTCTTTGTATCATGCATCGTCAGAAACTTTAGCTTTCATTCTGGCGCCATAAAAGTTGTTTATTGCAACATTTAAAAAAAAGAAGGTGTTTGGTATTTGTTTATGACATCGTCTCAAGTATTTTTTCCTGATGTACAGATGTTTCCAATCATGTGAAAGAAAATGATTAAATATAACTAAATTATTACTAAATAATTATAAAAATATTAAATATTATTAAAAAATTTAATACGTACATGTTTAAAAATATTATTTACTTTATTCTTTTACTATGCAAATCTTTAGTACCTCTTTGTAATAATACAATAAAGTTGCTTCAATTTCTCATCATCGTTCTACGCTACTTTCATAAAAAAAGTGCCGGCCATTCGCGGCATCGGTCATCGCCAGCCTCTATAGCGTTGAAAATGAGAACAACGGAATGAATATGGAAAATAGAACGTTGCATGATGAAACGAAATAACTCCACGTCAAACAGAGATTCAGAGGAAGGGATTCGAAAGATCTTCATCTTTCCCAAGAATATCCCATTCTTCCAATCGCGGCACAGCTGCCTGCCATCCTCAGCAGCGTCAGTCCCGAGCTTAAATGGCCAAGTTGCACCGTGTTCAAGTTTCTTGCGGCCTGCGAGAAGATCTCACAGCATCTGTCGGATCCCAAAGTCGAATCGATCGGGACGGGATTGCGCCGGAACGGGGGTCGCGAGCGAATATTCAGTCTGTTCGCGTTCTGTCTGGCCTCTCGAACAGGGGAAAATGCTCGCCTCGCGACGTGGTCGCGGTGCGAGCTGCGAATGTTGTGCCGGCGGCGCTACTCGAAAGCGCTTTTTACAGAACGCGAGGGGAGGGGGAGGGGGCGCGACCAGACGATTCGAAAAGTTTCGCGCGACGATTCCCGATCGATCGCGACCGGGCTTTCCATGAATCGTCACTACGAGCGCGAAAGCAGGCTGGTAATTAGCCGCGACGTTAATTACGCGCGACGTGTTCTCGCTGATTTATCGCGGGACATTGGTATCGGTTCCGGTTTTCGTTTCCAAAAGCGTCGACGTGACCGATTTGAGACGCGATTAGAGATGAGTCGATCAAGGGTCTTGTGTGTCACGCGTGTTCGATGGTGGTAAGGAATTTTGATTCGTTGCAAATTGACGAGTTACGTTGTGGCTATGGTTAGTTGTTGCTGATTTCTTTGCTCTTTAATCAAGTTAAGAAGCTTTTGAATTAATTTATTACAAGTCGATGGTCCACACTGTGATTGTATTTTGGAGTTGGTTGTATTATTTGCTTTCCGTTAGGAACCTTTGAATTAATTTATTGTAATATTATGATAGCTTACACTGTGATTATATTTTTAATAAATTTTTTTTTCCTTCCCTTTAAATTAATTATTCTTGCATGCTGACGATTTATACATAGAGGATGCTAATTCTCTGAATAATCCCGAAGAAGACAACGACAACGTTATCAAGAAGAAAATATAATCGTAATGTTTCTAAAATGAAATACAACTGAAACTGGATGTGTCAAAATTAGTCCTGAATATCAGTGCCTTAAATATAATTTTATATATTTTCAAGAGACTTCAAATATTTAGAGTTTAAAAACTTCTCAAAAATTAGCTCGGTCGAAACTTTCTCTTTCGTCAATGGAATTTCAGTCTGCATAATGGCCCGTGAGAATTTCGAAGGAACGACTTTTCGACGTCCGATGATGAATCGAGCGAACGGATGGCTCGCCCTAGAAACAAACACAGCCGATGGCGATAAATTATACTGGGGAATCGCGCTGGTCGATCGGCGCATCGATTTTCAAACTCGTTTACTATTTGCCGGCCTCTAGTCCAGTCATAAACGCGTTTCCGATAACGTGGAAATTAATAGAAATCGATTCCTCCCGGTGTAACGACGGGCCGATCTCATTAATTTCTGCCGGCCTTTCGCTCGACCTAAGGGAGTGTTAGAGTTAGAAAGGAAAAATTTGTCGATAGTTCGTATTCCCTAATTTATCGTGCCGATGAAAACCGTTCTCACTCGATCGAAACCAGCGGAGTTTGCAATTCAATTTAAATCGTGGCCTTGCATACTAACGACGAGAGCGACGAGAGCTGTTTCGGTTAACATTTAACTGTTTCAGATCGCATGTAAAATGCACTAAGTATCTGTGAAAAACGTGATCGCGCGCGTTAATCAATTGTTCCGTCGAACAATCGTTCCGTTTCTTACTCGAGAAGATGGATCACGGCAAACAAATTTATTTGAAAACTTGAGTGACAATTTCCATAACTTTCGTTCAGTCGCGAGACCTCCGTAAAGCAACTCGAGTCTTGAATCAAGTTTTAATAACTTCGATAATCGTTCATGAACTTGAGTGCTAATTACTACTTTGAACTTTAATTGTGTCGCGTACATGATCTCTTGGGACCTTTAAATGATCATGAACTTCAATGGTACAACTTCGACGATCTCCAACTTCAGTGACATAGTTTCGACGAGACCTATGATTTTCATCTAAACTTGAACATCGACTTCGAACATTCCTTTATGACCTTGACGTAATTTCGATCTCGATGTAGCTATTTCATTGCAACCCTTTTGTTTGGACAATAAGCGTTATTATATAATAGTATAGATCACAATTCTATATTATTAAATTAAAATAAAGAAAGAGAAAAGAAATTGAAAAAAGAGTAAAAGAAAGAAATGAAAATAAAATACAGTGCATTGTCAGAATAAGATGTGTTGATACACCATTGATAGTATCGTTTCAAAAATTAAAAATTATTGATTACAATAAGACAATACTTACCGAGGCCACGAATTAATCAAGAAAGTTTAAGAGTGATATTACTTGAAATTGAGTAGATTCCATGCCCAATGGAATTCAGGAAATGAATATAATATGAAATATAAGATTCAATCGCTAGGAATTAAAAATTAAATTGTAGAAAGTATTTTCTCCTAACTTTCATAATGA